GCGTTCTACATAGTCTCCCTGAACACAAGACCAAGTTGCGACAACGAGGTCAACCCACTTCTAAAAATCTAAAAGTCTACAAAATTAGCGGCTAGGTGCTCGAGTTATTATCAATATTATGACAGAGAACGCCGGACTAGCCACGCTCTATAAGGTCTCTGTTGCCATAACCAATTTGCTAAAACAAGGTCAAGCCATAGCTTGTGTGGGCCTAGTTACTGTCTAGAGTGAATTGAATTAATTTTAATAGCATTTAGATAGTATTGTCGGCCAATCATGCTTTTATATGGTGATCTCTTTTTACAACGGCCATAGATGTCAGCTTACTGTGGCACATTAAACTTAGCTGATGGCATCCAAATTTATCGAATAACAGATATTCAAAGATCATCTACCCTATCAGGTTCGCCATTTGGCGATATGTCTTACAAATGGCCTTGAAGGGTGGGCCGGACATGCTTTTTCTCTAACACTTTTTGCCGGCCAATGCGCCGAGGGGACATGTGGACTGTACTCTTCGGATCGCGAGAAGGATGGTATACTGTTCTTTCTGAGCTTACTTCCATTTCGAGTGAAAGTGTTTGGTAAAGAGATTCGAAGGTCGATTCCTCCAGGAGACGACGGCGGATTCCTCTTGACCAGCTGTCTATTGGTGTTACTGGAAGATTCAGAGTGACGCTGTTTCCGAGGTAATCTCCTTCGATTCCGATGAAAAGATGCTAAGCCTTCGTCCGTCATATAATGAACATCCTCAGAGCAAGTCAGGAAAACTTGACTCGTTAGCTTGAATTTGGTTGTGATGATGATACCTTGCTCTGATGATGTTCGTCATGTGACAGACGAAAGCTTAGCACCTTTTCACCGAAATCGAAGGAGAGTATATCGGAAACAGCGTCAGCATGAATCTTCCAGTAAAGCTGGTCAAAAGGAATCCGCCGTCATCTTCTAATGGAATCGACCTTCGAATCTTTCCACCAAACACTTTCATTCGAAATGGAAGTAAGCTCAACACTTATGAAACAAGGGATTCCTCGAAACCCAACCTTTCTTCGCACATACTGTACTATCGCTTGAATTGGCTTGGCGATACACGGCACAATGCTGTTCTGCAGGCCTGGTGGATTAGGCCTTTTGTTTGGGTATTTTGTGAGATTGGCAATATCTATTACAGCCCGAATCCATTGGGTTCGGTCAGCTTGGCATGGATGACTTGCTTGCTATGAAGGTTTTCATCAGCATTAGTTATTCAGCGCTTTTATACTAGACACGGTTTCCCCATTCCTCGGCCAGCCTATAGTCACTCTGGTATTGTAAAACAACACGTGAGGAGAATGGCTTGGTGCTAGGAGACGGCCCATTTAGCATGACGCTCCCGGAGTCTGTCTTCGGGCCAAACGCACATTCATGTGCACATTCGTTTAGGTGTAGATAAACACCGCGATAAGTATTAAATGCTCATACTTGGCACAGGTATCAATAGCTAAAGCTAGCCCATCCCTCATTTATACGCCAAGGCGTCGGCTCCCAGCATCATTATCATTACCCGAACCTCGAGGGGACTGGTACCACGAACCTCGGCCGAGGTGTCTGTCCTCGCGGCAACGCAACCTCTGGCCTCCCTGGAGGCGGCAACACTGCCGGCCTGGTCGGGCTCAAAGTGGCCCCAGGCCCGCTGTCCGCTCATCTGGCAGCGCAGGCTCAGCTGCGGCGCACCCAAGCGCAAATCGCGGTGCACGCCAGAGACTCTGTGGCGGGCGCTCTGGTTGACCCGATGCTGTTGTTCACGCCTCCCGGCTGCCTGGTGCCCGCGCTCGCCTACGACAACGAGACCCTCGGAGGCGATGGACTGGCCCGAGGCCCTGACGTCATTTCTCCCGCCGGCGCGTCGACCAGGCGCAGGGCCGACGAGCTGGCCAGACTGGCGGCTGCGGGTCTTTTTGATCCGGGCGCCGCGACGATGGGTCCTCTGGCGGCCGGCCAGGCGGGTCGCTCCGGCTCCGGCCTGAGCAGGCGGGTTAACTCGTTCGAGTCGCTGCATCGGATGTCCGATAGACTCGCCAACGGACACTTGGATGAACTACAGTTCATGGGTGAGCGGCTGTTTCCTCTTCATCTGCTCGTCTTCATCCTCATTTTCCCCATAGACCTGCGCCCGGAAATGCATGCTCTCCAGCCTCTTTACGAATGTGCACATTTGCGCCCGCGTGTGTGGGTAGCTGGTGTGTCTGGAGACAGGTTCACGCACAGACATGGCAAAGCCAGCTTCTGCGATGCCATCGAAATAGGCCCAAACTTTGGCAACTTCGCTCGCCAGGCGATTTTTTCCCTTTTTAGCAGGCTTCCGAGATTACCAGCAAATCAGAAATATGAGTTGTTTTTAGCCAATTTCCTTCAAGGTCATGAAAGACTGGTAGTTCACTATTCCCACAATGATATGAGTAGACCCTACGATTCCATTAAAAATCATACAGGCTTGCTTTCCCAAACGGGTGGACGGCAGTTTAGACCTCGCCCAGGGCTTATAAATACCCTCAGTGGGACTCGAACCATGGCGGTGTAGTGTGCAATCCTGGCACGCGCCACATGGAACTGCGCCACATTGCCAAGAATGTCCTTGGGTCAGAGGGCAGGTGTAACTTTCAAGAGAGGCCAGTTATTTTCCCATATCACATTCTCTGGCGGGAGTGTCGAAGAAACAAATGTATCTGTTACAGCAATCGACGGCATTATTTATATTTCGTTTTGAGCGGGTTTTCAAGACTTGCGAAGGCGCAAGCATATATGTCA